ACTTTACATGATAATTCTATTGTTTGGTTAACAACTATTCAATTGAAATATATTAGCAAATTATCTCGTTTATTAGGTATAGAACCATTAACATTAAATAAACAATTTAAAGATATATTTCATTCAACTATAAAAACAAATAATACAACTGTTATTTACGAAGAAATTAAAATACCACAAATTGAAATAATATCGAAATCAACTTATAATAATGCTGCTGAAACACTTCTTCTATCAGCTAAATTTACATCAACGATTCAAGAAAAACTCTATGAAGAATATCATCATTCTGTATTACCATCGGATTATTTGAATTTCGAAACATTTAAAAATCTAATATTACGTAAAGGTTTAGAATCTTCACATATTACGGATTATTTTCGTGCATTTGATTCAACACAACGAAATTATTTAACATTTCTTGACTATTTACTTGGTCTTGCTGCATTAGATCCAAATACTCAACATGGTGGTGTACCAGCTGAACAACGTTGTCGTTATATATTTCGTTATTATAATATAAATAATAATCAACGAATGACATTTGATGAATTTAAAATAATGATTAAAGATATACATAAAAATAAAGGACAAAATTTAATAGGTGATGCATTGAACGATGAAGCATTACAAATGTTTCGTTCATTTGGACTACGATCATCTGATCAAACATTAAATTTAATGGATTTTTTATCAGGTGTTGGACAACTTCGATTTCGTGGTACATCTGTATTATTTCGATTAACTATGTCAATAAGTGACGGTTTTAAACGAACATCAACACCAAATACATTAGTAATACCATCTTCAACTTCGAATATAACCGCATCGAATCGAACTTTAAGTACACTAACAATGGCACGACGTTCTGGTACACAACAACAACAACAAATATCTGTTGATGATACACATCCATATGAAATTGCTACACATATTGTTAAAGTATGTTTGATGATTTAATAAGAATTAATTTTTGTAAATAATATTAATTTTAGGTAAAGAGAACAGGTGTTGTTGTTGATATAACATCATTGTATGATTTGGAAATAGCAGGAGCTATAAGTGGTAGTACAGCTTTATTTTTTGATGATGATAATGGTAAATTTGATCGAATCAATAGTCAAGATTGTTTTAATCAACGTACACATGCAAATGAAATGCTCAATGGATTGCGTTATTTCGAACGAGGATCTAAAGAAGGTTATTATATGAAATAAATTTTCTATGTACTTTTTTTTCTTCTTCTCAGGAGGACCTGCATTAAAAGATGCTTTTACATGGGGAAAAGTTGATATGTCAGCAATGGCTCGTTGTTTATTAGTTTTATGTAAACAGATTTATTCAATTTTTATTAAAGAAAATCGATTATTACGTGTTTCATCAGCTTGTTATATTTGTAAATAACAAAAGATATTGCTTTTATAATTTTCCTTTGAATATAGTGGGTGATTTACATGGAAATTTTCGAGATTTAATTTGTTTTGAAAAAACATTTTGGCGACTTGGACCTGTACTTACACCAGCATCTATACTATTTTTAGGTATATTTAATAATTTAGAGTTTGAAATGAAAATAATATTATCTTAGGTGATTATGTTGATCGAGGTTTAGAAGGTGTGGAAGTTGTAGCTTATCTTTTTGCTCAAAAAGTACTTTGTCCACATAAAGTTAGTTAAAAACAAATATATTTTTTAATAAAATCTAAAAGTAAATTTTTTTTTTTTGGTGTTTCTTTTACGTGGTAATCATGAATTACGTAATGTTCAAGATATGTTTCAATTTCATGGTGAATGTCGTCGAAAATTTGGTATGGACCTTGGTGAACAAGTTTGGGAAGAAATAAATCGATGCTTTGATGCAATGCCTATATGTAACAATTATTTTTTTATATAACAAAATATTGTTTTTTTTTTGTTGTTGACTTAGGTGCACTTGTTGATAATCGTATTTTATGTGTTCATGGTGGTATACCGTCATTAGATATAAAAAATGATTTTTTTAAATTAGTTTCACAAATTCCATGTCCATTACGTGATCCAGAAAATGAATCACCACTTGCTTGGGAACTTCTCTGGAATGATCCATTATCAAATGAAATAAATGATTTAGAAAATATCAATAATGAATTTATTTCAAATGTTCGTCGTGGAACAGGATTTTTCTTTTCATCAAAAGCATTAAATGATTTTCTTCAGCAAAATTCATTATCTTATGTTGTACGTGCACATGAAGTTCAACAACAAGGTTTTAAAGTAGATATTCATTTGCAAATATATAATATCTTTATAAAAAAAAACATTAATCTTCATTTAAAGGTTCAACTTAATGGTCGTTTATTAACAGTATTTTCATCTAGTCATTATTGTGGTGGTGAAAATGAAGCGGCAACAGTTTTATGTGATTCAAATAAACTTCGATTGATTCGATTGGATACAAGCAGTTAAATTACCTCGATATATATGAATGTTTATGTGGATTAGTTAATATGAACTATTTCCGATCAATACTTGATGACATTAAAAGAAAAAATGAATAAAGAACAGGAATATCTATCTCATATCCTGTATAATATCTTTTTTTTTGCTCAAAATTAGAAACAAATCCTAATATAATTGTATCAGTATTTCCGTTATAATATAGTAAAAATAAAACTATAGTTCAATGTTTAATCAGAAGAAGGAAATTGTTCAAGTTAATCTTCTTTTTCTTTATTCATTATCCAGGGAAAATAAGCTTAGATCTTTGTATAAAAATCAATGTAAGTGAATATTTAAGTTTGATTCATAATTTCTCTTTTTTTTTCGAAGACAACCTTTTTATTCTATGTACGAATGACACACACACACACACATTCGATATGTCTTATCAGTCGAGTTGACATACTAGTTTTTGAAGAGATGGCAAATGGTCTTTTATACTCAACTTTGTCATAGGCAAATAATCATCATTTTCTTTGCGTCCCTCTCTCTCTCTCTCCCTCGTTCGCTCTCTCTCACTCTCATGTCGGTTATCAGAGTGGCGAACGCCTATGCATGCTTGAAGTAAGAAAGATGCAGGCGATATGTCTGTTGTAGTGATGATAGTAGCATAGATAGTGTGTATTCAATTAATTGATCTATCATTGAAAAGCATCAGTAACAGAGCATCTCAACTTGAGATATACAAACATACTCGCACGTTAACTTTCCAGCAAGAAAAAAAAAGCTTGATGACACTTATCTTCGACAGTTTGATGAAAGGCTAGTTAACGATCATTATATTAAATGAAAATTATTATAAGTATATAGATAGTTATATACAATTACAAGTTTATCTCTTGTCGATATAGAAGAATCATTAATAGAAAAATAAGTTATACGAATAGATGATAGTAGAAACAATATATAATATTGAAATATTAAGTAAGATAATAATAATGCATAATAGTAAATATGTTCTTTTTTTTCTATACCTGATAAAGAGAAGAAGAAAAAAATCTAACAAAACGACATATAGCTGTCAGATGGATTTCTTTCTCATATATATACATTATGACTAAGGATTCGAGTAAGTATTTAAAAGTATTATTTCTTATATTTATCATAAATCAGATTTATTTGTAAATATGCGTTTGTACGTTTAGAATAATAATATAACGAAAAAAAATATCGCAATAATCTTAAACTTTTTTTTTCCTCCCTTTAGTTTTTATTTATATCCTTTTTTCTATCGAAAAAAAAATTATAGATAAGACTGTAGTTTAAATGATAGGACTGTCTTCATAGTTAAAACAATTGAGAAGTCTGAGTATGTAGGTCTGTTGTAGAGATATCGTCAATTATGAGGCAAATCAACGACAAACCCGGTTGATTCTCTATAGATATAGATACATGTCAAGTAAAGAGACGAAACAAGAACATCTACTAATGATTGCGAATAAAACTTATGATCGACCTGAAACAAAAAACTTACTTGTGACAACTACAACATCATCATCGATAGTAGAAACAACAAAA